GATCTCTTTTGACAAACAAGGCAACACTAATTAAAGACATGCGATATTCTTTATTTATCAGAAAGTTGTATTAAAGATGTATTCGCGTGCATTGCAAATCTTTTCAACAAACCCATTAATAGATTTATTTGCAAAAATGCAACACCATTTAAAAACGTGGTATAGAGAAATGAAGTGATCAAACAACGTCATTGCCAATGGGATCTATTCATCTGTACATATGTGAACGTCTGTGACTTATACATTATGTTTGACAAGAATCATATTGTTAGCATGGCGCCTGTTCTTTACAAGCTGGTTTAGGGTTTTTTTTTAAACCGGCCCCAGTTCCAGTTATAATGGGCATAGGCCTTTATTTCTGAAAGCCTTTCTTTTGGATTATGATCTTTTAAATTCCGTAATTGAATCAATCCATGTAAAACCAGCCTGTGGTAATGTACCTAAGTGACTGGGTAACAGAGTACTGTAGACTTACCACGGATCTCCCGAAATTCTAGTTTTCAGGCCAAAGGACATCAAACAATGACCAATTCAAACCGATTCAATATAGGGAGATTATACTCTAAGAAGACCAATGCAATGAACTACAAACCTATTTAAGAGCCCCCCTCCCCATAATGATTGTTACCATGGTAACCTGTAGTCAGTCCAGAAGGAATTATGTTTTGTAAGTGCAAGGTAAGATTCCTTCCCACATGAAAAAAGCTTGAGATTCGTTTTCTTGATTCTATAGCCAGGGTATGGATGTTTTTTTTCCTATAATGTAGTGGTTGCAATTCTTCCACAATCGAATTAATGGCTTAGTCTTGGGATCAATGTGGTCTGCCCTATGAAGTCCCCGAAAATATTTTCTGATATGATTTTGAAATTTTACAAAAACAGGCAATCTTTAACTGTCTGCTACAGCTCACCGCAAAAACAAAACAACATTTGGAGCAAAACTTCATATAACTTTCTTTGCTAAAATATGGATAATGAAATATGTTAGAGACAATAAACTAGAGTTCCACGATCTCATACCTTCACCAAATGATGTTAGCTTTTATGAATGAGAACTTAATATATACAATGTATTAATCCCCCTGATTATGCAAATAGGATCCGCAATTGCATGAATTATATCTGTTGATCATGATCTCCACCAACAGTCTTATTTTAACAAAGAATGCCATTATAGCATTTCCTCATATATTATTCAAATGAGGTCCTTATTTGAATAAGCTATGTTAAATTATGTTTACCTTCACTAAACTTCAAACACCCCAAGTATAAAATTCCAGGCAGTTACCACTATGCAATTATAACATTTTCTCATTAATTATGCAAATTAAGTCTTCATTTGCATAATCGATATCTGCCTGTGTTTCTCTCGTTGTTTATAACATATGTCGCAAGCTTGAACTTCCTATCATGGAATGCAGTTGATTAATAGAATTTCCTCATTTATTATGCAAATTACATCCATATTTGCATAATTGTAATACCATTATGTCACGCATTACTAAAGCTACCTACATACCAAAAATCATGATGATCCATCAATCGGTTCTTGAGTTATCCTCCTTTAAATATTTGTCCTTTAAACCCCCATGCAGTTTTAGAGCAAGCAACTAGGGGGCCCAAACTCACGTCACCTTTTTCCCAGCACAAGAGCTACCTGCCATCCGAATTTCGTCACCCTAGCATGTCTGGATCATGAGATATCAAAACCGGAAGTTCAGCTGGAGTACCATGACAAGCCGCCAGGGGGGCCAAAATCTAATCAGTTCGAGCTCTCATCAAGACCTACCCATCTACCAAATATCAAGATAATCCATCTAAGCTTTCTCGAGTTATGCTGTTGACAGACAGACACACACACACACACGGCCAGGAAAACATAACCTTCTCCAATTCTTGGCGAAGGTAAATATGTGTTACTTTCTGTGAGATACAGAAAGTCAAAGATGGTATATTTTGGGCGAGACCAATGCCTTCACAAGGTGAAAATCCGCGATTTTGAAAAATGGCCGTTGCCATGGAAACCAACAACCACAGAACCGAAACTTACCCATTTTCGTAGGTTTGGACCAAGTCCCTACCACCACACAAAATTTAAGAGAATTTGATTTAAATCCTATCTATCAAAGCTATTCTACCCAATGGGAATAAGAACCCAACGTTAGCCAACATGACTAACTCTATAAATACGAATTTTAATGTAAGGTTAATTTTCCGTCAGTACCAAGGGCTTTCCTACATAGGTTAACTAGGCGTGTACGCAGACCAGCCTAACTGTGCAACCGCATATCAGACAGGTGACAACAAGGCCATTTGTGGACACATCCAGCAGGTTATACGTGAGCAGAGATTTAGTGTCTGTGTGTACAATTATCAACAAAACGTTCGAGGATCTGGCAAAACGTTTTTGCAACGTATCTACGCAGGACAAGTTGTTTGGTAGCCGTTGTCGAAACCGGACAAGCATATTCCAGGATTGGGCGAATAAAAGACAGATAGATGTGCGTACATCTAGAGGAAGTCCTGCTCTCTTGGCGACCACCGGGAAGTAAAGTCTGGGACTGGTCTTTGTCAGCATGTATGTCCCAAGATAGGTCAGCGGAAACATGCACGCAAATGTTTTTAGGTTGTAACCCTTTCAATATCCTAACCCTCTACCGTAGGGTGTGGGAGTAAAGGGACAGTCTCCTTCCTTTCCTCCTTGCAATGATGATCATGTCTTTGTCTTCTTCCCATCTGTTGCCAGCGTAATGTTGACACAATCAGTGTGAAACTCAAAGTGAGGTGCGAAAGCTAACTCGGAGACCAAACATTGTAGGGATTCTGTATTTTCTTAGCCTGCCATGTTGCGGGTGGCTGATGCTGACGAGAAGAGCAGGAGGTACGGTTTGCACGTACTGTGCGTAGGTAGACTCTTTGTGCCTTTCCTCCCTATGGGAGGTGTCCAGTGTCCGGTGACGGCATCAGCCTGGACAACAGTCTCCCGTGTCACAGGCGCAAGTGACGTCAGCGGCTCAGGGTCATGCGATTGATCGATGGATCTGAGCGAGAGGCATCACTTGACCATATTTTTTTTTTGCTCTTTAGTTCCTAGTTTTCGTGAATCATTAAAAAGTACTGTGCTAATGGCGCCAATGTAAATCTACTTTTTTGTGTGATTTAAAATGGCTTTACAGGCTGTGATAAGGTAACTTAGTGCTTCACCCTACATCTGACCTAGATCCATTATTATTATTATTATTATGGAAAAGGCACTGCATGAGTGTGAGGTGTGACCTTGTAGTGATGGTAGACTTGCTTTAAACCTGGCGATATAAGGATATCGATGTCATATTATAAAACATGCTGTTTTTTTTTACATTTTATTCTCACACAAGGCTAGCTGTGGCAAAATGCTTATAATGTTATCAGCTTAGGAGAGACTAAATCCATTCAAATTCGATTTGGCCATATGTTGTATGCTCGCGTGCTTGACCTAACTAAATAAGCATATAGCAAATTATGATTTGGGATTAAAAAATGTCATCCGTAGTTTGTGGACATATTCAGGTAACTTAGGTTATCAACAAATTAACTTACTAATGGCTTATTTAGCTTCAGGTCAGTACAATTAACAGTACTGGTTAACACTGGTTATATTAATCACACCAATCCAAAATGCGACGAATCGTCCGAACGTGATATAACAAGGTGACAATCTTGAATATTTTGAATACTATCATTGTAACTTAACAAGCTATTTTTGTCAACTCATACATAATGCAAAATTATTCAAATGATGTTATATGAACTTGCACTTCATTCCGCAGCTTAGGCCACAGAAAGTAAATTTTATGACTGACATTCTCCGCAGACTCAAAATCTAATGCGATAGGGCGAACAAAAAGGCGGGCAAAAAACAGGATTCCTACATTTTTCAATTTTAACATCATGAACCTTCAAGTTGCTGAACATAAAATAATGCCTCCGTGTATATTGTATTATGTTTACTGCCAACGTTTACGACATCCATTTGTCTAAAAATAAAATCTTTCAATCATTTTATAAAAGTTTTTTTTTTATTTACTGAACATATAAAAGAAATGAAATGCATTACTGCATTAAAGTAAAAAATAAAACAATAAACCAAAGCATTGTCATGTCTCCTCTCTCCATATTCATCTACCATCCACATTCCGCCACATTCCGCCATCTTTGCCCGTTTTTTGCATTTTGACCACTTTCAGAAGGAATCAAAATTTATTTTCCCCAACAATCTGGCTTGAAATAATGCGGTCGTTGATGTCATCAATAAAAATTACTTGCTGTGGCCTCAACAAAAAATCAATTGGCCCTATGTTAAAAGGACATAAGCAGGAAGCTCAAAACTATATATGTAAGTACTCAGATACTATCGTGGTCGGGTTGGTCAGCGAGTGTCTTCAGTCGATGAGAGGCAGCTGGCGTGCACTTCGACTTGGTCTGTGTGAGAAACAGTATCGTAAGAATAATCATGAACTGTTTGACTTTCGATACACTAAGGGGATTGCTTATTTTTCTCCTATCCCTGTAGCGTCTGTACTCAACGAATCTCGTGTTGACTGAAAAATTCGGAAAAACTAAAGGTATCTACCTCAGTTGTGGGCACCGGTCTCTTTCAGAGCCTTAACGGGAGAGTGTGATGCTTGTGGTGCCTCAGTTGGCAGCTCAGGACAAACCCACAGATTCTGTTTCGGCTCTGCGAGATCTCTCGGGCGTTTGGTTTGCATGTTGGTAAGCTCGATGTCTTCATCAGACATGCGAAGTGGCCTTCAGATAAAGTTAAACCAGGATTAGGAGCTATTCTTAGTTTGTTCATACTTAATGCAGATTTGCAATTACGTATTGCCTTAATCAATTAAAATGTTTTCCTAATTGCCTTCGAAGACAACTCGCATTTGTAACTAAATATCACTGAGCCTATATTTTTGACAAAATATTGAAACAAGACAATAGTATAAGAGATATAAAATAAATAGTATTTACCCAATTTTATTCTTCTCCTTCTTCGATGCTTTCCACACAGCCCAAGCTACGACAGCGATAGTGACACCAATGCACAGGAGGGTGATGAGTGCGATCTGCCATGGTGGCATGGACTGCGAGGCGCACGGCCAGGACGGGGAGCCACAATCACAGAGGAAGTCGTTAGGGAGGTCGACACAGGTGTAGTTCTGCGGACAGGGGTTGGAGGAACATTCGTCAAAGTCGCTCTCGCAGTACCTTCCGTAGTAACCATCCAGGCATGCGCATTCGTACCCACTGAAGGAGACGCTCCGCTGTATGTCTGTGCAGTTTGGATCGTGGTCAGGACCGGTGCACAGGCCGCCATTCATACAGCGGTTTTCAAGGACGAAGATGTTAAAGGTAAGTACGTCAGAACGTTTGCCACTCTGGTCATGAGCATACACCCTGACCTGATCATGTCCATAGAAGTTCATGTCCGGAACGTAGGTGAAGCCAACCGCTACCCAGGAGTACTTCTCTGGTCGGTGTGGCATCAGGAGGTTCTGTGGGTAAGGGATAGACACTTCATCCGCCGATTTATTGGCAAAGTTAGCGCCATCTACCGTGGCATGGTCATCGGTGTCGTCATGGAGGAAGGTGATGTTTTGCACAATCTTTGACAAGGCCAAAGTGCCATTGCTTGGGTCGTGGAATACCAGGGACAAAACATCATTCGTTTCTATGTCCGCTCCAAACACCAAGACATCGTACTTGGACCGGGTTAGTCTTTGAGCTGTGTTCTCCTCCAATGTAACTGTGATGGAGTCACCTGTGCTGTTTACCTTTACTCTATCCTTCACTGCAAAGACGTCGGGGTTGTCTTCAAGAGCGACGACATCAATGACAACCGTCTCTCTCGTCACCAGTGGCGTTTCTCCATCCCTCCTGTTCTCACTCATAACAACAGTTACAAAGTCCTTACCAAAGCAATCTTTGCATGGTGTATAGCGGAGTATCCCATTCGGCTCAATTTCAACTTCTCCAATGAACAGAGTCTCAGTAGACCTGTCTATACTGAACGTTACTTCGTCATCGTCGTCGTCTATCGCTTCCAGGTATGCCACAATCGGGACATCCTCATAGGTCCACAGGTAGGGTGAGACGGCGAGACGCGGTGCACTGTTTTGGAAAGATGAATCGACGAGCGCAACGACAAAGAATGTCTCTTTTCCAAAGAAGATGCCTTCCTGCGGAGATCTTTTATCACGATGTACGGAGGTAGGATTTGTGAGGAGGTTGCTGGTGTTGCAAACCTAGAAAAAAGTGGAATATGTTTATTGGTCATCTATGTTCTGCTTATACTATGTTGTAGCTTGATAAGGTGTTGCGCCGAAGGACGGTTATACCGTCTATATAAAGATACACATGCTGGTGTCATGCGGTTGTACACCAGCCATACAAATAATACCAGTTGTTCTGACTCACACAACAGCAGCAAAATGCACATGATCCAACTTACCGAAAACCTTTGTCTGTTACTCACCTGTACATTGAACTCCGACGTGTTTTTGTATGTGTACGTCTGGGTGAAGAGTTGACATGTATGTCCGGCATCCTGCCACATCTCTGATTCTGGACGAAAAAAATAAATGTTTGAATGTGTAATCACAAATGTTTAGGAGAAAGAACGTAAGTCACCCTGATGGCTGTTTCTATTGCATTCGACAGGGGTAAAACCGTATTTGTTTACAACTTAGCCCCTTCTAAATCCATACGTTAACGGATGAATTACGTCTCCTACACCTCTATTCAAATCAATTTTATTCTGTATTAAAGAAGAGGCACGGACCTTTCTGGAATACAAATTTGAAGTAAGTAGAGCAATGAGAAAGATTGGAACGTGTAGTCATAATTTGATTGTTGAAATCGAAAGATATTATCAAACCTCCGCCGACAAGAGCTTTATTTGTCCATTATGTCCAAATGATATTGTAGATGAAGGCCATCATATCATATGTTTATTACAGATTATTCACAGTATGAAGATTAACTCACAAAGCTGTTCAACCTTTTCTCCGCTTGCTCAACAAAATTTGTTACATCTCACGATAAAGTCAACTACATTCTAGGTGACAACCCTTACAGTGTACAGATGTTGAAAGAAGTGGCCACGGCGTAATGATTTACTCATAGTCTTGTGCGTATGCACCTACGTGACTTTATGTGTATGTTTAGTTATAGACCTTACGGAAGTGGATGTTCTTTTGTTGTGTTAAAATAGTTATATGTATTTCATTTCTTGTACAGTAAAACAAATGAATAAGTATACCCGCATTCCAGAAGAGCAGCCTAAGAAGCTCGGTAGGTGCTGCCGTTACGTTGACCATGGTAACTGTGATGTTGAGGGGGCCTCGTAACTCCTGACCAGCAACTGGACTCAGCACGAAGCTTTGGTCGGTGAATCTACGGATCCTGTAGGAACATTATTTTGTAAACTGGTTGCTCTACTTCTCCAAAAACATCGCAAGCATTTATCATGAAAGAAATTATTTATAAGATGCATGATTGTGCTTGTACAGCATGATTGTATAAATGTAGCAGTTTTTGGTCTCAACTGCTGTCTTGAGTATAGTGCGGAAACGCTCCACTTATAACATTACCTGTGTCGCAGGTTTCTATCTGTAAAGTCCGCTGTTAGGTAGGGGTTGACAATAATCGGCTTGAACCTGGCTGACGCGTCTGATGTGTACTCCTGTACAACATCCTGTTTGGACAGCGGACTGCACACAATCTTTTCTCCGGGGCGTAAACCTATACGTTCAATAAATAATTGTCATTCCACATCTGCAAAACAGTACTTTACAAAAACCAACAAAGCAATTTTAGATATATAATAATATTAAGGCATGGAATTCAAATATGGTCATAGTCATCAAATACTAGCCTCCAGTAGTTTGCACGGCCACTGTAGCATTGGTCCCGTCAAAATGATGTCCTACAAACTCCAAGGCAAGGTCTTCTCCGTTTGTTGATGTTTCAATAGCATCACTGTCACCTTATAACAACAAAGAGCCATTTATTTTATCTACACAGAAATGAAATTTTAGCTAAGATACATTGCTGACGTTTTAGTGTCTATCATACATCTTCCCCAGAGCTTCTGACTAGATTTCTGCTTCTCGCCGCTATATGCTACCCATTTAGTTGAGGGTCTGATGTCTTGGTTGTGTATAAGAAAACTTAAGTATCATATATTTCATTAACCTGATAAAACTATTTTCGGAAGAAATTTAACCTGAGTGTGAAGCCTTTTTTAAAACAATTGCCTATTTTTGTAAACAAAATATTTTTACTTACGGTGTATCAGAACAACAGGTGACTGAATTCTGCCACACTTATGGCCCGGGTTACATGCATCCATGTGCACAAACAGATTTCTGAAATAACGCAAAAAGAGACTCATTTATTAAAGAAAACGGTTCATTTAAACACCATTAGAAGCTACATTATGACGCGTATTTGAATGTTTCTAATATCTATACATGTATATACACAATGAATTACAATAACGACAGAGCAACGGTGATGTAGATCAAAACGGAGTCAAAAAAAAAATTGAAAAATTTTCCACCTTCCAGGCTCCATCTGGAAGTTGTTTGGAAACGTTTTGTTTGCATCATCGATTGTCCTCTCTCTCATCTCGGATAAGTCACCGTTGAACCCCTCAAATTCAACGATGCCGTCATGAATGGAAATGTATCCGGAACCATTTACTCCAACTTGAGTGCGGGGAACGATATCATCTGGTGAACTTTGTGCACTACCAACACTGAAATCTGCAAAGTAAATAGTATGGAAATTCGAAATGAGAGATGTAAACGACGTTAAATAAATTTGTCTTGACAGTGAGATGTATTTTGCTGTTTACATGTTGTATCATTTTCTCGTCCACAAGCCCCACTTGGGAATTAGTAAAGAATAGCTGTAGGGACAAGCCAGTTGTCTTAACATGCAATAAATAAAAGAATAAAATAAAAAAGTGTCGCTTCGTATTGTGTGAATGATGATGGCAAGCATCTTTCATGATGGCAAGCAGATTCACGTGCAAAACGTTAAGCCATTAACTACTGTTTAATCCATTGTAAAAATGTTTACGTTCAGAATTACAAGTTTACTTACAGTACGCATTTATGCCAGAGTCCTCTACTGCAGTCCAAACGAAACTAATACTTGTCTGATCCTCAGTGGACACTACGTTAGGAGCTATCTGCACGGCGCCTGGGACGGAGATGTTGGCACTCGTGGTGTTCGGTTCAGTCATCAAAACAGTTACTCCTGTAAAACACATATTTGTGCATTGGGTTATTATCATTTTGTACAGTCCTTATTCAATGCAGATGACAAGACAAAAAAAAGAAAGAAAACGATCATTACTAGAAATACCGATAGTTTGACTTTTTCAAAAGTCAACTATTTGAAAATCAACAAAAAGGCAGGTGTAAACGAAAGTCTACACACACAGGTAACAGTTTTCTTCTCTATACATAGTTTACAATGTAACATTCACCATTGGTGTATACAGTCTCCTCAAGTCCAGCTAAGTTGAGCGCCACTACAGTAACGTAGTAGATACTGCCTTCCTCAAGAAGACCCTCTAAATCTTCTGCTACAGCAAGGACATCTTTCTCGTCCATTGGGATGATGGTGTCAAACTCTCGAATATCATTGCTGCCCTTAGAAGTACCGACAGCCCAACGGTATTCAGTAATCTAGAAGTGAAAATGAAAGAAATTTTGCTGATATATCTTGGTTAATGGCAAAAAAATGTTTCGGTCGAAAAGTTCTATATTGCATGCTGATCAAGAGACGTGCTCTAGGCTTTACCTTGCTTTCCATATCGATAGCTCTCCAGCGAACAGCTATGGTAGAATTTGATCCTTGGAATTCTGATGGCTCGTCCATCGACCACGATGTGTCTACGTGAAATAGGGCTTCAAACCTCGGTGGTGTCACATCTATGTAAACTCCATCGGATGATGCGATGACCTGTCTTCCTGACGCTGAAGTCGGTAGAAATAGTTGGCAAATCAATGCACACGGCATTACAACAACAGCGATGGACAGAACTATAAGGTACAAAACATGAATATTATTACAACGAAAACATGTATATTTAATTTATTACAACGTACCAACGTACTGAATGGAAGACCTTTATTGTACGTTTGTGCTCTAACAAGCTAAGTACAGGTCATGGGTAAACAGGGAAAGAATACAGTATTGAAACTTACATACTATACATACTATTGTGATCTACTATTTACAGGTTCAGCTTTTTCTCGCTTCTTGATGCAGTTAAATATGTACGAACATATTGAGCTAATGATACATGGTTTGTCAAGTTTCATGAGGAATTCGAATTTTTCTATTCTATCTAAATGTCTAAAGCTTGGGAACTTATCTATTACATAAGTATAGAGGGAATCCCTCTCATTTCTATATAATGTGCAGTCAACTACAAAATGGAATTCATCTTCAATATTATCTATTTTACAAAATTGGCAGATCATTTGCTGTAGAGGAATGTGGTTGTGTCTGCCCTTTTCTATGTGGAGTTTGTGTTAACTTATCCCGAGTTTTGTGATGGCTGTTCTGTGTCGAATGTTTGTAATATAGACAGTCCACAGTGCACACTGTGCAATCAGTAGATTGTGAAGTGAAATCGGATGTACACCAATGTGACCAAACCACCGAAGCCTTCTTTTACGAATATCCTCAATTGTATTCTCCCTTACCAACATAGCTCAAATTGCCTCATATCCCTGCTGCCTAGCGGGAAAAAATGAAGAGGAGCAAGACAGGCTCGGCCAGTTCTGGTCTTAGCATTTAAGCAGATAGGTAGATAAAATCGGAGTATCGACGCACCTGTTGTAGCTTTAATAGTCATATAGTATTTCGCCGGGACTGTGATGTTATCGGTGTCGTATTGGACTGTACTGTTTACATCTAGGGCCAAGTTGTCCAACAATACGTGATATTCTGTGACCTCGGAACCATCGCAGTCATTGGAACAGTAGAAGTTGTCACAAGCCCTCAAACATGGGATACACGAGTGGTAAGGGACCTACAACAGAAACAGTAAGTAGAACATTTAAGTTGGAATAAAAGAAACTTTTTTTTATAACTTAGTAGTCAATTATTGGCCTAACATGCATTTCTTTTTTAAGCGTACAGTCACATTCACAATACAGTCACATTATCTTTTCGAGAAATAGCGTGAGTTTTCCATAAAACACCCGCATCGACACTCGCGCTAGCTTAATGCATATCACACACGCACAAACACACACACACGGCGCACATACATGTTTATCCAACAACAAAACACCAATAGCAGCAACAACAATGGAAAACGCTCCAGGAAAAATCATATCCAACAGCTTTAACCCTAAACAGTACACCTGGGGTCCGCGCGGACCCCAGCACTATATATTCTGTAATATCTTTTTTTTTCTAAAGACTTTTTTCTGAAATTTTAGGTAATTGTTACCCGCAAAGTTGTCTCTCAATACAGTGCAGAAAACTCCGTTTCTACCATTTATAAAAAAATTATATCTGATCTTCTTTTGGGGTCCGCGCGGACCCCAGCCGGCTTTCGATCATAATGGATACACTGGCGTTCTTATACATTACCGTATTTCCGTTTTTATATGTTTTTATGCACTCATCGTATGTCTACCAAGTTTTCAGAGAATGGTGTAGTAATAGAATTAAATTTTAATAACTTTGGTGTAATTATGACGTCATATGACGTCAGAGCTAATAATATAGTCCGCCATATTGGATTTTGACCAATGACGTCATCAAATTAGCATATTCTATGCATATTAAATGATTTAACTTATATTTAATAATGTAAGATGTTATTAATGTTGGAAAAGAAGTGTAATTTAATATAAAATTTTTATGTTTAAACCAAAATTACTTCTATTTTAAAAAAAAAACTGCCTGCTAGAAACCCATTGCCATGGCAACACAAAAAAACATCAACTTACTAGTATTAAACTAATATGAACTTTTTTCCAGAGACATTTTAGGAAAGGTCCAAATTTGATGCTTCTAGCGCAAGCCGTTTAGCTGCTATCTGAGATCAAAGTTGGGCCTCAAAAGCCCCTTCAGTCTGAAATGGGTTTAAAAATCGGGTATTTCTTCTTGTCTTGTTTCCTTCACCAAAAAATAGAAAAAGTTCAAAGTGTATGATTTTTGTATGTAATGTGGACACAGATGTTCCCACATCAGTTTGCAAAACAATTGAGCTGGTAGCATGTTGATAATTTCTAAAAATTAGCAAAAAACTGCTTTGGGGTCCGCGCGGACCCCAGGTGTACAGATTAATCAGTCCGGGAAGGTGTACTGTTGAGGGTTAAGCCATAAACATGAGATACTAATAATGTGTAAGTTGCATACATTTGTATTGCATGGCCAAGGTAGGCTTAAGGGCTGTGCACATTTAATAAGGTGACCAATAAGACATTAATATAACGAATGCTCCGCCCTTGAGACATTATAACATACCATCCTGAAAGGCACAACGTCATCCTGGAATGCCTCAGTTCCCACTCCTGCCATGAATGACAAAATGGCGCTGTCTCCATTGCGGAAAGGCTCGCCGTACCGACAAAGTTGGTCCGAGCTCGCTGGAAAGCTGGGGAAAAATGCGATGCATTTAGAAGTAAAGTAGACTAAAATTTATGTAATCGACATGTTCTAAAAATGCTTGTTTTTTAAATATATATCCTGTCACTAGTGAGAAATCCGCCTTTACATGTAATAAAGAAAGGAATGTTGTTGTACCGTTTGTAAATTCTAGTTTCGGTCATCGTCAAAAATAATCACAAATTCTCGTAATTGCTATTGGGGGTCATAGTTTCTCCAGCCTTTAGACAAGGTTAATTTACCTTACATCCTTAAAGTTTGCTGTCGCCGTCGGTGGATAAAATGGGTCCTCGACGTCTGGAACATAGTCCTCAAAATTCCAGACGCTGAACGTAACAACCGCGTCGGTAGGAAGTGGAGGTAACCCTGATAAAGCTAAGGCTCTTGTTCCGTCAATGATGAGGTCTACAGACCATATCTCCTATATAAGATCATTAAGAACGGTTCAATATTAGTACCGATGCTATCGGAGTATGAAGTAAAGTTATACCTTAAAACTACATCTCAACGCATTACACACTACATCTCACAATTTCCATACGTTTTAGTCAATATGATATACTTTTTGTCAATTAAAGCAAGCATCCAAATTAGCTTTGATATCATGAATACGAAAAAAAGGTTTCACCATTGCAAGTTGATAAAAAAAAATTAAACGTACGTTCTTTGGGTCAGTCCGGTCAACTTGAAAGTCCAGGGCATACACGTGGAATGCCTCTGACGGGTCAAAGTTCAGTTCAAACAGTTCCTGTTGAGGTTCATGACCGGACATGGCTGACCGTAGCCACATCACTGCATAATGCTTCTCTGTGCCATCTGCTGCAAACCCTGCTCAAATGGGAATATGTGATTTTATAAATACTCACGTATAAAGTATACATATTATCAATTTGATATATTCAATTCAAGATTCAAGATGGATTTATTGGTTCTTCGCAGTTAAAAACAACTGAATTGTAGACCAATTTACAAAACATTGGTATATTAAATGGACCAAAAGATGACCCTAGTAATTACAGGGGTATTTCGGTCACCAGCTGTCTAGCAAAACTATTCACATCAATTTTAGATACACGCCTAACAACTTTTTTAGATGATAATAAACTAATCTCCCCCAACCAGACCGGCCGGCTTCAGAAAACATTTCAGTACAAATGATAATCTCTTTGTTTTAGACTCGCTAATTACAAAATATTTCCATAACAACAAACGCCTTTACTCATGTTTCATAGATTTTAGAAAGGCATTTGACACTGTCTGGAGAGAAGGTCTCCGTTTCAAATTACTAAATTCGGGAATAGGGGGGAATTTCTATAAATTAATCAAATGCTTATATTGTAAACCAGAAACTTGCGTCAAAACAAAATCTGGCCTTACACCGCCATTTGTGACAGACAAAGGTGTCCGACAGGGGTGTAACTTGAGCCCCACCCTTTTTAATTTATTTATTAATGACTTAGTGAAAGAGTTAGATAATTCAGAATGTATGCCACCTTCTTTATATAATCTATATGTCTCTTGTTTATTGTATGCCGATGATGTTGTAATACTTTCAGAATCAGACAAAGGTCTACAATCGGCCATAGATAGATTAAGTAACTTCTGCGACAAATGGAAACTCCAAGTAAATTTGAAAAAAACTAAAGTTGTTATTTTTAACAAAGCAGGTCGTTCATTTCCGAAGCAAAAGTTCTACTTTGAAAACAATACAATAGACAACGTTACCTCCTACTGCTATTTAGGCCTAACCCTTACATCATCAGGTAGCTTCACCCTAACTAAAAAGCAGCTATCACTGAAGGCACGCAAAGCCATTTATAGTTTCAAATCTATTATCCGTTCATCAGTCTTACCACGTAGCCTCCTAAAGATTTTTGACCCATGTGTAAAACCGATTTTATTGTATGGATGTCAAATATGGGGGACTGAACAGCAACATGATACCTCACCTATCGAAAATGTACACAACCAGTTCTGTAAAAATGTTCTCGGTGTTTTTAGAAATAGTAGCAATGTCGCATGTAGAGCAGAATTAGGTAGATTCCCTTTAGATATAGATATTTGTATATATGTAGTTAAATTCTGGTTACGCCTGATCCAATTAGATACAACTTCACACCCCCTTCAAAGGGATGCAATCCTCTTACAACAAAGCCTTCCGACAAATACCCGTAGACGAACTTTACTTCAACGTGTTAAAGACATATTAGATCACAATGGATACTCCTTTCTGTGGCATTCCGAAAACTCACATTATGATCCCGAACATGTTGTGAAAATGCTGAGAAGGAGACTTACAGATATGCATATACAAACATTTTTTCATACTATGTCA